TCACCAATATGTGCAGCTTGTTTAGTGAGTCCTCATCCTCGTTATGTTTTCTGGACAAATTACGTGGATACAGTATGGAATATTCCTTATTCCTTTGGCCCAGACGGCTCTATTGAGCCTGGTGTCATTGTGCACATCTGGAGTCCCAATCTCCTTCATGGCAAATTTCTGGTTTTCTTTGAGTGCCGGAAGAGCTCACTTCTTGAAGCCCATGCCATGGATGTGCTTGTGAATGTTGATGGTATATTCTTGGGTCACCATCTCGTTGGTGGCAGAGTGGCCCTTCTTGCCATCTTTTTTTGCGGAAGCCATTCTGCTTTTTGTTTGTTTTTGAGACAGGGTTTCTCTGTGTAGCCTTGGCTGTCCTGGAACTCACTCTGTAGATCAGGCTGGCCTTAAATTAAATTAAGGATTAGGAGGGCTACCTGATCTACAAAAATCCAACACTATAAACAACAAAAAGAATGCAAAAGGAAGGAAAAATGGAAGAAGGAAGGAAGGTCAAATTATTTAATGCAAAATATCAAGGAAATGTTTTTTTAATTATCGTGAAATGTCAGGAAAGTAACTTTCTCCCTTTGTGTATCTTATCCTCCCCACATATAAATTATGTCACCCAAACTGATTTTCATATTTTATAAATAAGCTTCTAGATCAATAGATTTCTGCATGGCTTAGTTTTGGTTACCCACTTCTCTCCTTTTTCATCACCCTTTTTGCTACTGAGAGTTTGCTATGCTCAGTATTCCCTCTCTCCTTACCCATCTTCTTTTTTTGTACCAGCCCTTTCCATTTTGGGCACTGTTCAGCTTTTTATTAGAGCAACCAGGTGCCTTAGGCAGCCAAGGTGAAACATGAAACACATCTTTACATCATTAAACAAATGCAGCATGAACAAATGTAACACACCTTTACACAGTTAAAGTAGTATCCCACAACAATTTTCTATGTGTTCTGATGACCCATCTACCTCTCTATAATGATCTCTTTCTTTTTCCTCTGGAGTACACCAACTCTCAATGTTAAGCACCCAACTCTAAAAATTTGATGGTTGTACCTGCATTTGGGGACTGGATTATCTCACTCAATATAATGTTTTCTAGAGCCATTCATTTTTCTGCAAATATTACATTTTCATTCTTTATCACTAAATTATATATACTATATGTCATATATATGCACCACGTATACATCACATATATATTTATATCACACACATATATATTTTCATTATGTATTCATCCATTGTTGGACATCTAGGCTGGTTCTATTTCTATGATACTGTGACTAGAGACAGTGAGTATGGAAGTATAGGCATCTCCGTTGTAGGGTGTGAGGTCCTTTGGGCATATGTCCAGATGTGGTATAACTGGGTCATATGGCAGTTATGTTTTGAGCTTTTTGAGGAACTTTCAAATTGATATCTTGGAATTGGAGTGAGAGGTGGTTATGAGCTGCCTTTTGGGGGTACTGGGACTTGAACTGGGGTCTTCTGCAAGAGCAGTGTGCTCTCTTATATCCTGATCTATCTTCAGACCAGTTCAATGTTCTAGTATTAATTGTTCAAAATAATGAGTTTTGTGATGATGTTTTCATATCTGTACCTACAGTGATACCACCTCCTCCTGCTGGCCCCTTTCATCTTCCCAGATATTCCCCCTCTACTTAGTACATGATTTCTTTTATGTTCATTGCTTTTTGTCTGCATGTGTGTCTGTGTGAAGGTGTCAAAGCCCTGGAACTGGAGTTACAGACAGCTGTGAGCTGCCCTGTGGGTTTTGGGAATTGAACTGGAAGAGCAGCCAGTGCACTTAAACACTGTTAATAAGAAAATCATATGGTAGGTAACAAGTAGATGATACCAAAGCTCAGGGGTACTTGCTGATTTCTTTTAAAAAGTTGCCTTATAAAAGGGTATTGGATTCCCCAGATCAGGCGTTACCCAGTGCAGGTGCTGGAAGATAGCTAATGTGTGAGAGCTAAAAACTGCACTCAGAACCTCTGGAATGGCAGTAAGTGCTCTTAAACACTGAGCTGTCTCTGTTTTTTTTTTTTTTTTTTTTTTTAATAAATTAAGATACTCGGGCTGAGAGTATAACTCTTTAGTAGAACATGTGTGAAGCCCTGGACTCCATCCGCAGTACCAAATTAAAACTAAATAAATAATAATCTCTGTACCCATGATTTCAGTTCTTTCCTCTAATCCCCGATTTTCATCCTTTACCAAATCTAGTAGGGTTTCTTTCTCTTTTTAAATAAAGTGTTAATATGTCATCCAGATGTAGAGTTTTCATATGGTATTTGGTTTTTTGAGTATGGCTTATTTCACTTAACATAATGATCTCCAATTTTATCTGCTTTCCTGAAAATAGCACACTCTCATTTTTCTTTATGATCACATCTATTTTTATTTCTATTTTGGGGATTTTTTTTGTTCCTGTGTAATGTATGTCTTCATGTGCAAGTGTGTGCATATATCTCACATGTTGCATGTGTGTGGGGAGGCCAAAGGTAGATGTTTTGCTTTATTATTCTTCTGCTGGAGCTTGTTATTTTGCCTAGATTTGCCAGCCAGTGAGCCCTGGAATGTACCTGTCTCAACACCTCCAGTTTTGAGGTTACAGATGCACCATGCCTGGCTTTTACATGGGTGCTGGAACCCAAATTCACATCCCCATTCTTGCATGATAAGCATTTTCTCTACCTAACCATTTCCCTAAAAGTGACCTTCATTTTCATATACTCTTTGAATTTGGCTCTCTTCTGAATAATGCCTCCAATACATAGCAAAATGGCCATCACTGAAACTCCCATAGAAGTCACTGTGGGCTCAGACAGCTGCCAAACCTTGATCTGGAGTTCTCGGGTAAGTGGAGATATGCCTTCTTGAGTTAAAAGGTTTTCATCCTTTACCACATCTAGTAGGGTTTCTTTCTCTTTTTAAATAAAGCATTATTATGTCATTCAGGCTGTTCTAGAACTCACTACATAGACCAGGCCGGCCTCAAACTCACAGAGATCCATTCTCCTGCCTCTAACTACCTAGTGCTGGGATTAAAGTTGTTCACTACAATGCCTGGCCATTTTATCTTTTTTATTATAAAGAATAGTTGTGATTTGTATAAACGAATTGATTTCAGTTTGATCTTTTTCGCATGTGCATGTGAGAAACTTTGATTATATTCACAGGGTCTTTATTATATCATTTATTGTCCTGATATTGGGAAAGGTGTTTATCTGTGATCTTCCAGCCAGGCAGGTTGTGCACGCCTTTAATTGTAGCACTGGAGGCAGAGGCAGGAGGATCTCTGTGAGTTCTAGGCCAGCCTGGTCTATACAAGTTCCAGGACAGTCAGGCCCACAAAGTGAGATATTGTCTCAAACAACAAAAGAACAACCAAAAACAAACAAACAAAAAAAATCAGAGTTGAGAAAATGGAGAAAATGGATGGAGTTCATAAATATAAGGATTGGTGGGGCAACTTCTGAGGGCTTGATCTAGTCATATGGTCTGAGGCTCTATCCAGCTCTTATGGGAGGGAGAATGGTCAAATGACATTTTGCTAAAGCTAATGACTAATGCTGTAAAGTTATTAGTTTCATGTTCAGCAAGTCACTTGCTCATGACTTAGTTTCACCCATGATAGATAGAGCTTCATCAGCAAGTGTTGTTATTTTCAGGAATTATTCATATTAAAGGAAACGACAGTGAATGCAGATCTGTAGCCATTAATATTGGTGGTGTTGGAGTGTGTGTGTGGGGGTTAGGATGGGTAGTCACCAGTCCCATTAGAGAATTAACTAAAGCTCTACAGAAGAAGCCCCGTCAGTGTCTCATGCCACTTCTGACAATCACTTAGCTGCCTTATCTGCCTGCTCCCCTTCTGTTCAAGCTTGCTTATAGACAGAACCTCAGATTTAAGATCTGGACTGCGTGATGTTGAAGTTATATTTTAGTGCTTTTCAAAGTGTGGTCCATGATCCATAGCATCAGAATAGTTCCAAGTGTTTGTTTAAAAAAGTAATAAGGTAGGACTGGCGATGAAAGCCTGAAAGCCCAACTACTTGGCAAGCTGAGGCAGGGGAATCATATACTCAAGTTCTGCGCCTGTCTCAAAAAGTTTTTTTTTTTTTTTTTTCAAAAAGGGCTCAGTGTTTGCTAAGCATTGAGGAGGCCCAGGGTTCAAAAAGAAAACACAAAGAAGTTTGTAGGACAGACCCAAGACATTTTATTCCAGAATCTGAGGCATCAGATAAGAAAAACAAAAATGAAAACCAGAAAGTTCTAAACCCTAGACAATTGTGTGTGCATATGTGCTTGCGTGTATGTGTGTGTGTGTGTGTGTGTGTGTATGTGTGTGTGTGTGTGTGTGTGTATTTTGGAAACTAAACATTTGAGGGTCAATGCTTTATTTCAACTCTAGAGTTTTATGCTTGGTTTAAGTTGTGTCTGTTTACTGTTCACTTGGCAAGTATACAGAATACTGTTTAATATGAACTTATTAGACAACATTTTTATATATGAATAGAAGAATGTCTGGAAGTTGATGATTTTTGCAAACAGCATCTCTTGGTAGTAATTGGAATGTACTTTATTCATTTCCTTTTATTATTGTTCTATTTCTCTTACCATTTTCTTCCTCTATTTAAAAATATGCTTCCCCTTTCTGGTTTCAATTTCCCCATCTGGGAAAGAGAATGTTGTAACTTTGTGAACTTCAAGAGCAGGGTCTAATCTGGTGGTCAGTGACTCCATACTACCCCCTAGCTTCCCCGTCCATCAATAACATGGACTACATAGGTGGCCTCCGTGCTTGGAGAATAACCATGCTTTATTTTTGCATATATTTATCTTGCAACTGTTTTGATGCCAGAAAAAAAACAGTTGTTTGTTCTTAAGGACCAGGAACAGAAGTAACCCATTATCTACAAACCTCAAAAGTTCCCCTCTCCTGTTAGGCATAAAAATATGCCCTCCGCACTTAAATCTTTTTAGTGTAATAATGATCGTGAACCAAAAAGTCAGGGCGTGGCCACCCCGCCCTCCTGCCCGGACATCCCCGCCCCTCGCACTGCTTTCAAGTATGGTGATTGGCTGAAAGGAAGAAAGAGACCCGCCCCAGGTCTTATGACTAGAGCAGAAGCGGCGATTCCTGGCTTTCTCCGTGCTGTTGTCGGTGGTCACCTGTGCTTTCGCTTTCCGCGAGTGTGCGAGGGTGTTCGTTGGCTTTGCCGGTCAGGTCGACGCCTGCCCTGCGGGATCATGATGCGCTTCGGCCTCTCTCCGCTTTCGGGCTCCGGGCTGGTCCTGTGTTGTCTGCTCCTGGGTGAGTTTTCGGGCCCTCTCCTTGAGTGTCTTCAGCTGGGCCCGGGGGGATGGGTGGGGGGTTCAAAGGGCACAACCTGAAAGACTGGTCTTCGGGGAAGGCGGTGAGACACTGAGCAGCTGACACTCGGAGGCGGTGGAGGCGGCCCGAGGCACGGGGCGGGGGGGGGTTGAGGGGGGGTGAGCGGGGGGGGGGGACTTGAGCGGTGACCTAGAGAAGGCCTGGCTAAGGAATGGCAGGCTGTGAGGGCCCCGGAGAGTAACAACCCGGCAAGTCTGGGATGTGGAGGACCGCACCGGACTAGGCAAGAGGAGTGAAGAGTTCGAGACACCTGGGGTAGAGGGAGCAACTTGGAAAAGAGTCTTGGGGACCAGGGGAACAGACACCGGGTGGGGGGGGGGACGAGACGACTTCGTTGCCTGGATCAGGGAAGAGTTTTGAAGATGGTGGAAAATCTGTAGCGTGAGAAAGGAAATTTGGAGCGGAAGACCTGCATGTACCCCTGTGAAATTGTTGGGCCAGAGTACTGGGTAGATAGGACAGTTGGGCCTAAGGGGCAGAGACAGCGCTGGGGGCTTTGTAGGTGGGATTTGAGGCTGGGAGGAAAGGTGACCAGATGAGGAACTGCGGAGTTTGAGTATGGTCTTGGAGTTTTGAGAGCATAGGGATCTAAGGTAACTGGAGTAACTTCCTGGAAAAAAAAAATTATTCCCAACCTCTGGAGACTAAAGAAATCAGTGAGAAATTCGATGGGGAGTGAATATCTGACTTGGAGGTGTTTAGGATCTCGTGTTTTTTTTTTTTTTTTTGTTTGTTTTGTTTTGTTTTCTTTCCCATGTAACTTTTTGCTATTTCCTCCTAGCCAGACTCCGGCAGAAAAATCCTGCTAGATGCAAAGCCCTGGGAGCTTCCAAGATGGTAGTTTTTCCCCCTGAGTTTTCTGTACTACCTCCTTTCCTTCGGAGCCTCCCCCCCCACCGCAGTTGCCTTATTTGTGGTTTAAAAGTAGTCGGTAATAGCCGAAGGGATTGGCTTGTGACTGGGTGTAAGAGTAAATGGGTTAAGGTTGGTTGTTTGTGATCTGCCCTAATAAATAGACTGAGAGTCCATAACAACCTAAACTTGAACTTTGATCACAGTGTGTCTGTCTTCCTGACCTGATTTACTCTGATTGTTACCCAGTGGCTCTTGCTGTTTGTACTTTAGTAAAGGGATAGAAGAAAAACACCCGATTAGGATGGGGTGGAGATGGGTATATTGAGGAAAAGAATTGCCTTTGTAATTCACATGTCGGTTGGATAGGATCAGTTGAAACAGTTTGTTCTGACCCAGTGGGCATTTAGCAAGATCTTGTAGAGGCATTTAAAAGTTTTTCCATAATAGATTTTGAGGTTTTTTTTTTTTTAAACTACAAATCCTCCCATATACCCCTACCTGCCCTCCTTCAAATTCAGTGACCTTTTTTCATCTATTGTTATTTCATGCAAATATATATTTGTGTGTACATCTATATCCTAGAGGCATTTTTCTTGTCCCACAAGACTGCTTGTAGTGAATAGAGGTCAGGGATCCTGCTAACCTGCTTACAGGAACAGGACAGCCCTTCTCAAAGAGCCGTCTCCAGCTGGGCACACACCTTTAATACCAGAACTTGGGAGATAGAGGCACACAGATCTCTGTGTTCAAGGCTGGCCTGGTCTAAAGAGCGAGTTCCAGAACAGCTAGGGCAGTTACAGAGAAACCCTGTCTCAAAACAATCAATCAATCAGTCAATGAAGTTATCTCCAACACATTTGTACTGCCAAATTCGAGGATCCCAGCTTCCAAGCACAGCATTTGATGAGTTTATCCAGTAACTCTCAAGGACATTGCTAGGGAGCCTGAGCAACCAAAGCTTTCCCCAACAGTAGTTAAGAGCTTTCTCCTTTTTCACTCTCAGCCTTTTGCTTATATGTAGTAGCATTTTCCAGAAGCTACACAATATGTGATGATATCACCACCCTAATAACTCCAATGTTCTTACTTATTTCTCAATGTTCTAATAACAGAAGTGCCAGCAGATATATTCACCTAAACCAAAACTCCGTGATGTCTTCTGTAGATGGGACATTCTGACTGAAATATGTCCAGGTCCTTGATCTGGCCTAGCTAATCACAGTTTGTAAGCAACTCCTATAACACTTGTGAAGTTGGGCCACGAGGCTTGGCATGAGCACTTAATTCTAACCCTTACCTGGGGAGCACTTGTTGAGGGCCGGCTGACCCCATGAGAGGCTTGTTTACAGTGGAAAACACCTTATCAGTGACAAGAGCACATCTGACAAAGGCACCTATTAATCAGTAATTGCTTGCCAATTGAATCTGCACAAACACAACACTGTTATTGTTCACAGAAAGTAAGAAAAATAGTTGACCTACATGGTGGCTTTTATGCCAGCACATTTTTTTAATGAAGTCTTTTGTTTTGCATTTACAAAAGCAGTATTTGCTCGCTGCAGAAAGTAAACAGGTGAAACTTAGTACATAGAAGAAACCTCAAACCGAGTGCATCTGGAGAACTAGATTCATCCTTTTGGGTGGCTTCCAAAGCTGATTCCCTCCATTCACAAATTCAGAAAGGGATCTACAGGAGCAGCATTCAACAATGAAGGATTCAGGTTTTTTTTTTTTTTGATTTATCTATTTTTATTTTATGTATGTGTTTTGTCTGCCTGTATAGCTATACACCTGCCAGTGTCCCTGGTGCCTGTGGGCAGCACATCCCCTCAAACTGGATTTTCCATAGACAGTTGTAAGTTGCAGTGTGGGTATTGGGAACCAAAACTGTATTCTCTGGAAGAGTGACCACTAAGTCACATCTCCAACCCCAGGATCTGCTTTTTCAGTCTAGCTAAAGCCAGGTGGTGGTGGCATACACATTTAATTCCTGTACTAGGGACATAGGGGCAGGCCATTCCATGAGTTCAAGTCCAGCCTTGTCTACCAGAGCGAGTTCCAGGATAGCCAGAAAAGACACTGGAAAGATACACTGGAAAAGACAAAACAAAATAAAAACAGTCCATCCAGTTGTTCTTTCTCTCTTGATTGCTATGAGGCTCAAGATCTTGGGTGCCTTTTATTCAGAAGGATTTTGCAAGTCTTCAGTTGCTTTTGGGTTTTGTGTTTTTATATTTCCATGTCAAAATGGACACCCAAGAATAGGGTTTTGAAAACCCAGGAGGTACTTACTGTGTACCTGGTACTTAACTGAGTGCCAGTCCTGAATGCGTGTTCTCATTACCATCAGTGTACTGGTGTTTCATTCCCAACTTCGTAACTATCCCAGCGCTATTAGTAGCCTCTTAAAAATATCTTCTTTAGCTGGAGTGGTGGTGCACTGTGGGAGGCAGAGGCAGGCGGATCTCTTTTGAGTTTGAGGCCAGCCTGGTTTGTTACACCAAGAAACCCTGTTTAGAAAAACTAAACAAAAAAAAAAAATCTACAAGGCTGGGCCCGTACCTTGCACAGCATGTGTGAGGTCCTAGGTTTAATCTCCAGCATTGTGAAAACGGAAGACCAAAAAACCCCTTGCTTTAAAATAAATATGGAAAATATTCTTAGACTTTATGTTGGCGTTTTTCACAGAAATGTATTCATTTAGTTGTTTGTTTGTTTTTGAGTTCTGGCACCATTGCTCACGGGAAAAAAATTTTCTGGCTTTTATTTGAATATATTATAACCAGTGAAAAAGACTGTGTTGGGGAAAAATGTCTATGAGCAGAGACATGAAAAGGGCAACAGATAAAATTCCTTTCCTAACATCTTGCTTAATTGTGTTTCCTTAGTGACAGAATACTGTGGTCATTGATTTTTTATAACTAGCTGAACTTCCTGTTTTTGGTTTTTTGAGACAGGGTTTCTCTGTGTAGCTTTGGAGCCTGTCTTGGAACTTGGTTTATAGTCTAGGCTGGCCCTGAACTCACAGAGATCCAGCTGCCTCTTCCTCCCGTGTGCTGGGATTAAAGGTGTGTGTTGCCACTCCTGGCTAAACTCCTTTTTTTTTAAAGGGTTGAATGAGACTTTTACAAAAGTTTTGAGGCTCCTCTTGGAGGTGAAAAAAAAAAAAGCTTTGATAACAATCCTGGGTGTATTTCAGGGTTGGGGGTCACACTCTCCCACAGATGCTTAGTAACTGTCTATTACATTCTAACCACTACAACCAGATGAAAGGGACATAGCAATGCACAAGACAGTGGAGGGTCTGCTGTCATGGAACTTTCAGGAAGATAGCCTACCAGGTAAGTAACATTTTCAGGTAGTGAAAAGGACCATAGCGAACAGGAAGCAGGTAGTGAGGGATGAAGTGAATAGGTGAGATAGTTGGGTGGTGGGGATGACCTGTGTGTTTATATTGTGTTGAGTGACATTTGGGTAGAGACCTTGGTGCTGGAAGGAGGTCCGCCCTACCTACAACTACTTGGGAAAAGATGGGTGAGGAGGATCTGGGAGGAAAGAGTCAGGAGGGGGAAAACCTTGATCAGAATACATTATGAATTTTCAATGAAAATAAAATAAACACATAAAAGAAATCGCTTTTAAGCTTAAAAAAAAAAAGAATGAAGGAATAAATCATGTTTCCCAAACTTTCAGGGATACTAGCCTGTTTTCTGTTCTTTACCTTATGGTATTAGTCTCTGAGAGGATGGGGTGAATTTAGCTGCTGGTCTTTCCCATGGCCCAGTGGTTAAAGCTCAGTAGAGGTTTCTTGGGGTTAATCATTGGGCACTATAGATAAGATGGTGAATTAGACCAAATGTGGTCTCTCTGTCTTCTGTGGACAATAAAGGGTGTTTTAAGAAAGCTCTTTTGTGTCTTTAGATCAAGAACTTCAAAATCAGTGGTAAGAGGGCAGATAATTATAGGCTAATCTCAAAGGATAGTTCTATTCTCTCATATTTGTACTCTTTTAGGTGGGGGGTTATGAGTGAACAGGGTCTTACTATGTAGCCCTGGAACTCTGT